AATTTTTTCCCTAAGTTTGATACCAAAACATATTGGTAGCAAAAGCTAATATGAACTGATATGAATATGTTTATGGTCATTATAAAGCACTTTTTTGTAAGTTTGGTGCCAAAACTTATTGGCTTCAAAAATTAACATGAACAAAAAAAATTACCATGAACAAAAAAAATTAACATGAACAGATGTGCATATACTTATAGTCATTATCTATTCAGCATTGAGTAAATAGTCTACACATCTCACTTCAGAAATATAGTGTGTTTGAATACAGGATAATGCCTCAAGGGTTGCTGTGTCTTTTTAATGTATGAAAAATTATAATTTCTAAAGGTTTTGGATAAAAAATTGTAGAAATGTGCAATTATTCTTCCAGTTTTACAATGGTCAATATGTAACACAGCATGCAATATGTGCATTAATCTTTTATTTCTGTAAATATACTTTTCACATCTGGCTCAAAATATAACTTACCTGCTCAATACAAAAAACATTTTCTAAGTAATTGTTAATAGAACATGAATTTGTTCTTTGTTGTCACTTCAAAAAATGTTTTTAATATGTTTGGAAATTGTTCTGGTTGTAAATGTTACATATACACATATAATTCTACATGCACATACAGAGTGGGGCAAAGATGGGTTTGCGATTGTTCATGTGGAAAATAATACAGTGATTAATAAATAATAATACAAGAGTAAACTCTGTGTTTTGCATACTCTCAACTATAAGCCTATTTTTGCTCCACCATGTATTGTATATCATTAAAATTTTGAATATATTGAGAAACAGAAAAGTATTATAGAGATAAAAATCAGTCAGAATCCTTAATGAGAGACTATATGATCTATGATGTAATTTTTTAAAATAAGCCAATATATGTACACACACATACATATTTATAAACTAGGATAATACTGCATATTCAAATGCATATCTTATTTATTCACTTGATATTATTCATTGTTTTCTATTATATCATATTTTATATCACAGTTTACTTCCTCCAGGAAGCTTTCCTTTGATTCTCTGCTAAAATAGGCAAGTTGTCATTTTTTTATTTGTACTCTTTTCTACATATGCTTAAACTTACCATACTTTACTAAGTGGATTTATTTGTTTATTTGCTTTCCCCACCACCAGATTGTAAGCTCCTTGACAGTGGGCCTACATTTCATGTTTTATTTAATTCTTAACATCTATTTCAGTGCTTAGTAAATACCACTTAGTGTTGATGCTGTGTTGCGTAGGTGGGTAATATTTAATATCAATATTATTTTTATATAATGGTTTATGTGACCATTTTCTATTATTTAACATTTCTATAGTTGGCAGTAGTTTTATTATAGAAAATAACCCTCTCTATATATTCTTATAAATATCAAACCTGTGATTATGTTCTTAGACTCCAAGAATGTAAATAATTAAACATCGAAGGCAGTAAAATGACAGTTTCTCTAGCTTATTGGATGGGTTTGTAGGCTCTGGAAACATTGCCTGAATTTTGTTCAAGCTCCTAACACTTTATATTTATGTCCTTAGAAATGTTGCTTAACTTTTCAAAACTTTGTCTTCTCAATCCATAAAGCATGGGGAGGTAATAAGATCTAACTTCCTACATCCTTGCAAAAGTTGTTAGAGTTAATACAGGCAAATTTATAGCTCAATGTCTGGTACCTGGTAAGCACTAAATATATCCTATGTTATTATCATCTAAACTGTAACTATTTAAATGTTATTTATGTATCTAATTGCTTTTCAATAAAATACATAACCTTTTTTCTGCTTTTCCATTTTTGTCATTTCCTAAGAAAATTGTTTTCATCTACAGAGTACTTACAGAGTATATATTTACATATGTTTAAGTAAGTTTTAAAATTATTTTCATATTTAATTCTTAATTTGTTTTAGTTTATTTTGTGTGGATAAATGTTCACACACAAATATGGTTTTTTAAATGCGTTGTAATTTTTTTCTACCAATATTATTTGAATAACCAATCTATTTTCAACAATGTTCTGGTATTCTTTAATTACATGTATGAAAAATTATAATTTTCATATCATGTATAGTATATTGCAGTGTGTTTATTTTGGTGTGGATGGATACCGGCCAGCAGTATCCATCTCGGCTGCGGATGTTCGTCAACATGCGAGAAAAACATACACAAAGACAACCAGGTCCTGTGGGGGAATAGGAACAGCAGGGCCACTCCTCACGTGGGGAGTGCCTTCGCCACCCTCTCTCCTGGAGGGCACCGCTTGGCCACCCTCCCTGGTGGGGAGAGAGCCCCGTTCCCCCTCCCCTGTTCCCCCTCTGGAGAGGCTTTTTAATGGTTTCGTTTGAATAAGAATTCAGGTAAAGCTCATTACTCATTGCTAGGAAGTAAGAATCAAAAAATAGATAACAAGGAAGTCTGAGGGCCTATTTTGAGTCAGGGTCAAAGAGCTATAAAACTTTAAAGAACAAACTTACTTCTTCCTTGGACCTTTATCATTCAACTGAGAGCATTCTAAACAAAGCAGGTTTCACAGGATTTTACATATTCTTTCTTAGGCCTGATCACCTGGAGTACCCTCCCTTTTCAGCACAGAGCTGCACCACCCTGTCATTGTTTCAGGCTTAGGTGGAACAAGGGAACTAAGGCAACCAAGAGATTAGGAGATTTTCTCCCAGACGGTGAGGACTCAGGCTATGTCAAAGCTGAGGAGTGAGGGTCCATCACCCCCTTTTGCTGTAGCCCCCAAAGTCCTTCCTTAGGGGTCTCCCACGTTATCGTGCCTGTCTTAGATCGTTCCCCCCTTGGGGAATCTTACCCGTCATTGGCTAACCGACTAAGCTTTGGGGTTCAGTTATGAATGAAGCAGCAGAAGCAGCGCTCCTGCCAGGGAAATAAGCTTTTGTCTCCTTTCTGGCTTATGGTCCAAGGCCACTCCCTCAGCTTTAGCCTTGGTGGGGTTTATAGCTTTTGATACCAGGCAGGGCAGTTCCCAACATTTTGGTTTTTCTTTTTCTTATTGATTTATTGAAGAAACTACTCACAATTTTAATCTTTTTAATAAATGTCACTATTATATGAAACTTTATTATAGTTTCTATTTTTTTGTCCTATATATATTCTCCACTTTACTCTTATAAATCTATTTTTAGAATTGTTTTGGTAAATTCTCAGTGAAATATTACTTGAACCTCGATTGAAAATGTACTAAATCTGTATTATAATTGAGGGAAACAAATACAGTTTACTCTATTCACTCTTCTGATTCAGAAATAACCTTTATTGACATCTTACCACTTGGGCTGTTTCTGACTTTTAAAGATTTCAGTTTCTGAGTTGAGGGCACATACTAAAAGGGGAATAAATATTCTTCCATATTTCTTTCATGACAAGCTTTTTCTTGTGCTTAAACAGGACACAAACTGTTTTTCAGGGCAGGCTTTTTTGACTTAAAATTTACAGTTACTTCTTACTGATTTGGCAACAGGTTTTCTGTCATTTAAGATGTTCTATGAGCTTGTAATTTATCATTATATTCTGCAGCAAAGGATTTTTTTTGTTGCTGTTACAATTTTTTTCTAGACAAGTGGGAAAATGTCATTTATATACACTGTACAAGTACTGGAGATATGCCAACAAATTTGATGTGTACAGTTATTTTGAGAAAACAAAACATGAGTAAGAAAGACATACATGTGAACTGATAATTGTAGCATAATTGGAAACCACCTGGAAGGAGGCATCAAAGGCTGTCCTCCCTTCCTGGATTAGACCACATGTTACAGATAGGCTCAGCTATTGAACAAGAAGAACTCGGTTGAACTCACCTGGGGACACACAATGTATAAGAATATTTATTTATCAGAGAACTTTTTCAAAATGATTCTTTAAAATAGAAATGATGTTAATTATTTGTGAGTTCACCTCAGCAGTGAAACATTGAAATTCATTACCAATGGTTTTCTCCCAATTCATGGTACAAAATTTTAAGGGTTGGTTGACCTATTCTAAATTTTATGTTTTATATCTTTGCCTGCTAAGAAGTACTTACAAGTAACAGATAAACATGAAACAAATGAATTTTACAGAAAATAATTTGAGATAGCCAATCATATTTAGTTTGCTATTTATCTTTTTTAAAAGGAACCATATAATATGAATATAATTCCATATTGCTAACTATATGGTCATTTTTCTGCTAGTTAAAAATGATTTTTAGCTTGTTTAGTGTAATTGAATTATCATAATTAAGAATACCAAATACCCAAACAAACATGAGAGTCATTATTTTAGAACCTATATTTCAAGGTAATCAATAACATCAATGCTTAAAAAGTTTCTTTTCTATTAGCTTTTCTATTTCTCTCCAGTAGCAAAATAGTCCCTCTGTTCTCCTTTTACTAACTATAACTTTTTGGAGGCCTTCGTATAGAGAAAAAATGGCTATATTAAAGAGAGAGTTTATAGTCATAATTCAAGGCTTAGGGAACCGTACATTAAGGAGAACCAATGGTCGTTCCTATGTGACTATTAAGGAAAGTGCAAAGGGATAAAATCTTCAACCAACTCTTCTGACAACAGACTTTGTTCACTTAAATGGGAGATCAGGAATTTGCATTAAATTGACTGAAGACTCCTCAACAAATACAACATGTCTGAAGCTGCTTGAAAGAAAATCAGTAGCTGGATTGAGGTGGCATCCTTTAACTTCCAGCTCCTTTAGCATTCATTCTCTATAAAGGGGCACAATCTTAGCTTCCATGTACATTTATTCCAGTGCTGCTAACAGTGTCACTGAAATTCTGTGTCAGTGGACTGACTCATGATTTTAATAATATTGCCCATGTCGGTCTCAAGCTCACAGACATCAGTACCCTGTCCATATGTTGTGCTGTTTATAAGAATGGTTAAAAAAATGAAGATGAATCATTCATAATACTTAAATAGAAAGGTATTATTTAATTCACTAATTCTGGCTGACTCTGCCTCACTTTTCCCCATACCTTTATTTTAGACCCAATTTTCCCAGAATTTTCTCACGAATTTGCTGTGTCTTTACACAGTATACAATGGGGTTCATCAGAGGTGGCACTATCAAGAAAATGTCAGCAATGAGGATTGTGGCACTTGGGGACTCATGCTTGCCAAAGCGGTGCATAAAGGCCAAAACAGTGATGGGCACGTAGAAGATGAGCACAGCACATATGTGCGAAACACAGGTGTTGAGGGCCTTGAGTCGTTCCTTATGGGATCCAATTCCCATCACAGTCTTCAGGATGAATACATAGGACACAGCAACGAGCACACTGTCTGACATCATACAGAGGGCAACAAAAAAACCGTAGAAAAAGTCAAGTGTGTTGTCAGAGCAAGCCAGGTTCATGACATCCTGATGGAGACAATATGAGTGAGAAAGCAGGCTTTTCTTACAATATGTCAAACTTTTGAGAGCTAAAGGAAATGGAAGCATTAAGAGCATGCTTTTAGTGAAAAACACCAGGCACAGCTTAGCAACTCTGGCATTGGTGAGGATGGAGCTGTATCTCAGAGGGTTGCGTATGGCCAAAAAGCGGTCAAAAGACATTATCAGAAGCACTGAGGACTCCAAATCCATGAATCCATGGATCAAGAATTCTTGAGCAAAGCAGACATTTGGGGAAATTCCAGTAGCATTAAAAACAAAGGTCCTTAGCATAGTGGGAAGGGATGAGAGAGAGAGGCCCAGGTCAGCAGTAGCCAACATGGAAAGGAAATAGTACATGGGTGCATGGAGTGAGGGTTCTGTTCTGATCACAAAGAGGATGATGCAGTTGCCAAGGATGGCCACCAGGCACATGAAGCAGATGGGGATAGAGATCCACACATGAAGGTGCTCCAGTCCTGGGATTCCAACCAGGAAGAAGGTGGTGACCTCAGTGTTAGAGGAATTGAGAGTGGGCATGATAAATCAATTGGAAAATATTTATTCCCAGATCTGAAGTGACACTTTCAATGTGTCTATTACACTTACCTCCCTCCTTTCAGTGCTTTTGTCTGAGACATAAACAAAGAAAATACAATTTGAGAGATTTCTCATATTAAAGAATAAATGAATGAGCTATTTCTTTAAAAAAGACAATTGGTGATAGTCAGATAATGTAAATTGACAAAGAGAACCAGAAATCTAAATACTGTCTTGATCACTCACAGTTCTCCACAATGTCCTCAGAAAAAACTACCCATGTACAGAGTAGTGACCTGCAAATAAATTCCCCCTTTACTCTTAGGCTTGCCCATCCGTATTCTTACTCCAATGAAAAAATTTTATAGTCAAGCTGAGGTACAAGATAATGTTTTTTCCTTGTTCCAGAGTGATCCTAGAAATTTTTTTGAAAGATGAAACTGCAAGAATTAGATTTTTTAAATAGCCAATAATAAGTAGTTTCTCTTTTCTAGAGATTTTTGCTCCAGGCAGTTTTCGGGCCAGGCCTGGAGCTTCTAAAGGTGATTTTACTTACAAGGTGATTTTCTTCATAATTTCTCCACAGGAAGCAATGCAAAGATAGGACAGAAAATAGGTCATGTGAGCTTCACTGTTAATGCTCTCTTCACAGTGAACAGATAGAATGTCCTTAAAAATGACTAATCCGTAGCAGTTTTCTCCATCCTTGAGCCTGGGAGGAGAGAAGGGATTCTTGAATTTTCTCTACAGTCCAACATAGACTATATAATGTGGCTTAGTCAATTGGACTGTTGGTGATGAGAGAGACTGGTATTGTCTGAATCTATTTTTTTATGACACCCTAAAATACATAGATGTTCTATAACTATATATTTTTTCACAGACAACTGAGATACCTATGTACCTTTGAGAGGTTTCTTTTTATGGAATTAAGTTCGTCATGGACAATGAGGTTCCAAGATACAGGCAGCATGTTAGTTTCTACCCTTTTACCTACAGAAAGTGAGGGTTTAATTGAGAGGCTCCACGTTGTCAGTGGACTCTTGGCAAAGTGTTAGGAATCAGAAACACAGCTTTTCAAGTGGCTCATTCTCCAAAGCGAGGCATGACTGAGTTGTCTGTCATTAAGGACCATTCTTCTAGGAACCTGAGCTGCCTTCCCCAAATGATAAAGCAGTTAAGTCATGATCTGGGTTAGGCCACCCCCTCACCTCTAAAATTTCCAGTGTGAAAGTATGCAGAGGTCTTTTAAAACCGTATTACTAGCTCTTTGGCAACTCTAATTAGGTCAACTCAGGAGCAGCTTGTTCCTGATCACTCCAAGCAGAGTTCGTGTAGCTTTACCATAACTTGCATTCTAACTCTAATACAGTACTGAAATTGTCCTGTGATGTGTTATTTACTTATCTGCCTTCCTCAGTAGCCAGTGAGTTCATGAAGATCAGTCTGTGCCTTAATATTAATGATCTTGATATTAGCAACACCAAGCACATTTCCTGACAAATAAAGCATATTCAATCACTATTAATTGAATCTTTTTAAATGAATTGGTTTACATTCTGTGTAGTGGAAGAGGAGGGGGGCTTCCCACACAAAACCAAGCAATTGTCAGAATGCCAGCAGGGTGTCATAAAATTATTCAACTCAATTCTGACCCTATCTCTTCTGAGATACCATCATATCCTGCAGGTTAAGGGCTCAGTCCTACAGGATAAACCCTCTTCTCAACTTCAAATGCCAATCAAATTCCAGGTTATCAACTGTACTTCTGATTAATTGGCTACAGATAAGAGGGTTCCACCACCCTCTTCTTGGACTTCAGATGCCAGTCACAAGTCCGGGTTCTGCTTGTGACCAGATGGCTATAAATCAAAAGTTCCCACCACTCCCACCTTGGGTTTGATTTATTTGCTGGAGCAGTTCATAGTACTAGAGAAACCCATGTACTCACTAGATTATCAGTGTGTTATGAAAGTACATAACTCAGGAACAGTCAGATGTAAGAGATGCACAGGGCAAGGTATATGGCAAGGGCCTGGAACTTTCATGCTTCCCTGAGTGTGCCACCCTGCTTCACATCTCCATGTGTTCACCCACCTGAAAGCTCTCCAAATCCTGTCTTTTGGGGCTTTTATGGATCCTTTTTTACATAGGCATAATTGATTAATCAATGGTCATTGGAAATTGATTCAACCTCTAGCCCTCCCCCAACCTGGGAGGTCAGAGGCTGGGAGAAGACTGAAAGTTACAACTCTCTAATCTACAGGGTTGGTTCTCCTGACAACCAGCCCCCAAAGTAGGTGAGGTCCAAAAGCCACATCATTAAGGTGACAAAAGACATCTTTCTTGCTCCTATCACTTAGGAAATTCCAACAGAGCTCTGTGCTAAGAACAGGAATGAAGATCAAACGCGTATTTCTTATTATAAATCACAATAGCACAAGAACAAATTCATTTAACTCATAAAACATTAATCTCCCTAATTATCCCCCTACTAAGTCAATCTTTTTTTCAGCATGGATTTTTAACCTTCTGGCTTTGGAAGGATCAGAAGTGCTGCTTGTATACACAAGAAGGATCAGAAGTGCTGCTTTAGATACACAGATGGAAAATAAGCATGTAAGAAGATACTGAATCCTATTAGTCATTAATGAAATGCAACTTAAAACCACAATGAGATGCTACTCCACACACATTAGAATGGATAACATTTAAAAGACTTACTCTACAAGATGTTGGCAAGGAACCAGAGCAACCAGAACTCATATACACTGTGAGGAATGTAAAATGATACAATAGTCATTTTGGAAAACTATTTAGCATTTTTTAAAAAAGATAGACACACTTGTCTACCATACAATTCAGACATTCCTCTTCTAGGCACATAAGAAAATAAAAGTCTATACTCACACAGACTTGTAAACAAATATTTACAGCAGTTTTATTTTTAATAGCTAGAAATTATAAATAACCCAATGTTTATTAACAAGGAAATGGGTAAACAAATCACATCCGTAAAATGAAATACCACTGAGGAACAAAATGTAATAAAAAATTGATACAATAACCTGGCTGAATTTCAAAATAATTATGCTGCATGAAAGCTGCCAGATGTAACAGCAGACACCTGCCGGACCGCATGCATCCTAATCCCTTGTACAAGCAAGCCAATGTGTAGTGATGGGAAGCAGATCAGTGGTTTGAGGGGAAGGGATGGGGAGAGAGGGATTACACATGGGCATGAGAAAGCTTTTGTGAGTGATGTATATGTTCACTGTCTTGATTGTGTTGATGATTTCTTGGATGTTTACATATGTCAAAATAAATTGTATACTTTAAGCCTATGGGGAAAAAAAAGGAAGTGCTGCTTGTTTCTTGTCTCTTCCTGATTCCTGGGACCATTTTTCAACTTCATTCTATATGCCATCATTGAAGTTATTTTTAATGCCGCCTCTCCTTTCCTCCCTGTTTGCAAAACTTGTCTAAGTAATATATGGATTAGATAAACTTTTATTTAAAGGTTCAATTATCAAAATAAAAGCAGCAAAATCATAAATGGAAAAGTTTTTATTATGCAACTTATCTCTCATTTCTGTGGTATTTTCCTCCATACTTACAATAAAATCCATAGTTTTTAATGTATCTGATAAGCACTAATAAGATAAGGCCTCTAGAAACCTCTCTAGTGTGCTATGACCACATTTCTTTGTGCTGCTCCTCAAACATTGCAACAGTCTTCCTGTCTCAGAACTGCTATAAATGCTGTTTCCTTGGCTCTAATTGCTCTTTCTCAAAAGTCACATCCTCAAGAGAAGACTTCTCTGACCAGTATAGTCATACTCTATTCCATTGTTCTTATTTCTCTTAAATAGTTCTCATATAATTTTTACTTTAAGAAGGCAAATTTAATTGCCTTTGTTCACCTCTGCCATGAGGGCTTATAAGAACTTAATTATCATATTTCATGGCCCAAAATTTGGATTTTTGTAGCTTGGGCTCTTAAGCTGCTTGCAAGGCATGATTTTGTCCTTTTGGGCTCCAGAACCAGCAGCCCCCTGCCCCACCCCATCCTGATTGCACTCTTTGATAAGTTGTACTCCTTGCATTGCTGTAAATAATACTCCCCATACTATAACTGTGTGATCAAAGACAGACTTTTTGTTCTACAGCTCTGAGCTGAAACTAGGACTTGATAAATGTTTAATCATATATTATCCATTGCTCTCCCCTTACAATATCACTTGCTCAATCACTGAGTCAGACAACCATTGAAAGTTCAGTTGCCTTCACCAATCAGAAACCAATTAATGTAAGTTTACGGTCCTGTTTCCCCTACAACCCATCCCTTTGATAAGCACCTCTTTGTAACTTTTGCTTTAATAAGCTTTGCCCAAAATTCCTTAGTCTGTAATGTATTCTCAGTTCATATAGAGGGCTATATTTCTGGGTTTCCAAATTATTACCTGAATAAACACTCCTTAAAACTTCAGATTTTTGTTTACAGGCATATAGTAAATTCTCAATAATATTTGTTAAATAAATAAATGAACAAATCATGTTTATTAAGACACTATCATATATTAATTGAAGTGACAATATATTTTCTGTATTTTAAAAATACAATATAGAAAAACAGCGTTAATATTAGTTTAAAAGAGTATTTTTTATAAAATATTAAAATAATTAAATTTAAGTGCAATGAATAGAATATGTGAAATTAAAAATATACTTATGAGGGTAGCTATTAGCCTTTGTATATGTCATTATGTAATTATTAAATACATAAATAAATAAATCTCTTCATAAATAGATACATAAGAAACTTTATTTTGTTCCCAGATGCTAAATTTGGGGAAGAAAGAAAAATTAGGGTGGATTGAAAGAGAAAATAGGGTAATAAGATGGGTGAATATTAACTTTTATTGCATTGTGCTGGATATTTTATATTTGTTATTTTATTTAGCCCTCACATGATATTATTATTCCTGCTTTTCAAATTT